GGCAGAAATTTGCTTCTGGACGCCCCTATTTATTTCCAGCTTTACATACGACATGGTTGGCATAAAGAACCTTACAATGATTGTAGCAACTAATTACAAAAAAAGCAAACACTAAAGAAGGGCTTAGATTTCCAGAAACTTTGGATTTCATGCAATTACTTGGGCTTAGGTTTACCTGTAATATGCTAGACACTCCAGCTAAGTTCCATAAATACAGCCATTTGTAATATTGGACTTTTGCGGCTAACGCCATGCACAAAAAACTGCCGTTTTGAAGTGAGTGTCTATCTAGACTTAACGATGAATGGCCTCGTCAAGGAGAAAAATGACGCAACGGCTAAAAGTTGAAAATCAGAAGAGCTTACAATACTTTCCTCATCTTAAGTGACTTAGATTGGAATGTAAAAAATGATGACCTCGATGAAAACGAACGAGAAGCTTACAACGATGATGAAAAAGACGCTGAAGATGTCGACGGAATAATGGTTTTTTCAACGTATTAAAAAATCATCGGATCCAATATCGCGGTTTAGACTCCCACGTCCAGTCCGCCGGGCAGTACGCCTATGGTTTAGACGTCGTTATTACCGTCGCGGTTGAAAATTAAACAGTTGATAATTATAAGGAAGGTAGGGACCGTTTCCAGGTAACTGCTATAAAGTTGATTTAAGAAGGGTTTGCACTTTGGTGAGTGTGCTCATCTCCCACAACTTTGGTCTGGATTTCTGGGTTTGATTTTCCTATCTTGGGCCGGATTTCGATACAGTTCGATCCTGCTTCTTTTACGTGACCCGAAGGATTTTATATCAGGTCAACAAGCAACAAGTCAAATTATAAATTCCACACCAACCGTTCTTCAGTTTATCAGTTATGCATGTGCGGTTACACAAACACTAGGTATGATATACTCTTTGCCATTTTATCATTTGCACATATAAATACAAAAGGGCTATCAAATAAGAAAGCTTACCAATGGGATATCCATATTTTTGCACTTAAACTGAGACATTTCCTATATACAGGTATCCTACACTCTACACTTAAGGACTCTTTAATGGGCTTCTGGGTATCAAAGATCCATTCTATTTCTATTTGTTTCTTTTATTATATCAGATTTTTAGAAATCGTCCAGACTCGAAGACCGACATGACGAAGATATTGGCCTTTATTTCAGTGGGACCGAATAAACACGTCTTCAAATCACGTAATCGCAGCTGCCATGCGTAAGCTGCGTAAGTTTATACCACAAGATGTTATGATTCGCCTTTACAAAGGATCTGTACTACCCCACTTGTGGCCCACTCCTGCTAGGAATAAGTAATGGACTCAAAAACAAGTTAGAGGACACTAATTGCTACATCCTAAGGACTATCCTAGGGTATTCTGTAAAAGCCGGTTTTTTGACTCGAAATTTATGTTCGAGTAGACCAGTTTATTTCTAAACAAATTTATAACAAGAAGTCTATTCCTTTCCTTAAAAGGCTGCTTTTAATGCTCACTTGTATGTTTTACATCCCAGCTTTTACTTCACCATAAAAATCCTGCTAGAGCAGGAAAACACATATAATCCAAGTCCAATATTTTCAATAGGGACATCTTCCTTGGAAATCTAGAGAGAAAGATGCCAAGGGATAACAACAAATAAATGTTAGATCATATTAGAAATTAATATCAAATCATATCATCATATATCAAAAGTGGCCTTGAGATCCTGAGTATAGAGTCAATAAGCATTTTGTCATATGATATAACAAACTAAGTTTTGAAAAATTCAAAGAGTCGGTTTTAACTTAAATGGGGTGCGATAGACTGGCGCGCGCGGGAAAACCACAAAAAAGGTTCTACAATGAAAGCTTTTCGAGTCAGAAGAAGAACCTCATGGTTCACTGAAAAACGTGACTTGCTTTCTCATTTTTCTTCACTGCCGTCACTCATTTTTTTGCAACAAGGGCGAACAATGTGTTTTTTCGTTTTTTGCAACAAGGCCTTACAACTGCGGCCTTTCAAAATTGTTTTCTATGGAAATGCGCGAGTGGGGCCGGACGGATCAAATGATAATGGCAAATTATGTAAGAAGAACCCCCTATACCCGGCTAATCATTACTTAAAAATAATAATTTGAAAGGAAACTTGATTTAACTTCTTAAGTTTACCAGCGTAAACCTTTCATCGTTTTCCTTTTAAGCTCACCTAAATATTCTGAGACAAAGCAGCCCTTTTCGCTGTTAGTCCCCTCGACGACGACGTCTACGC